CATATGATAACAGGTAACGGTTTTCATAGATTATGCGAATTTTGCAATTCAGTTAATAGGTTGAATGACATAGGTGTCAACAGAGCTGGCACAATCGATCTTCATCAATCTTATTGCGCAATTGGATGGTGTCAGGCTGTGCTGGCATCTATCTGTCAGCATGCTAGCGAAAATCAATTGATTGTTTCTGATTTTTACTCTGCAGGTTTTCTTGTTTCGCAGTTGGGTTTCGTCAATGAAGTTTCATAATCCATCAAATTATTACGAAGAGAACTAGCTGGATTTGTTGCTTGGTTTTCCTTTCAGAGTTTTTTTTGGTCTTCTGTGACACCATATAGGATTTAGCATACCTACTTAAAGAAAAAAAGAGTACTTTTATGGACGAGAGCATTACAAGATGGAACTAGAACCATCTTTATATTGCTAACATTTATACAATAGACTGAGATTATAGGTACTTAGTTTTCCATTTCTTTTAGTTCAAAATTTTTTGGGGGTCAGTCATATATTTGTTTGGAATAACCTCACCGTTGGGTGAGAGTTGTAGTATGTTAAATCTCTTTGAGATGCCCAACTCTCTTATCTTGTACTGTTATGCAGTGTAATGATAATGCCATACTTCACCTTATATACCTTGCGTAACAAGATAACGCTTATCCATGACAGGACATCTAAGTAGCTTCTCAATGTGTAAGTGTGAGCCTTATCGATAGAGGTGATATGTGTCGAATTGCTAAGTTGATGATTACGTCTACTGGGTTCAATCAGGTTCGTGGATTGTTGGAGATTAGGTGATATTCTCATGAAATTTCGCTATGGTTTGGAAGTTATTTAGGTTGCTAACTTATAAAAACAACAGGGTTTGTTTAGTTAATGACGAAAACATTACCGTAATGTAATCGTTTGAATCAACTCAAGTATTGGGTTGGGTTGCTATTTGTTGTTGGAGAAGAAGAAGAAACAAGGAAGAAAATAGTGACCCTTACCCTGTTCACTTCCATTTTCGTTTCCTGTTTTCTGTTTTTATGTGATAAATTTGGCAACCGAAATGAGAAAACTTGTTTACTTTTCATTCTGATTTCTATTCGTTTCCAACCATGAAAACAGAAAGTGGCAACTTCTTGCTGTTTTCGGAAACGGAAAAATGTTGTTGTCACCTGTTTTCAACATCTGTTTTCTCAAAAACAGGAAACAGAAATGAAAATAAACAGGCCCTATATTTAGTCTTCACCAATAGTCACCACACGAGCAATTAATGAAATCAGTTATTATCCCCGACTATGATCAATCTTTTTTTTTGGAGAAAAGACTATGATCAATCTCCGGGTGCACTTCGACATACACTTAATACTTTAATAGCACTATGATACCGAATCGTCTGCTGCTTATAGCATTGAAAATGTATTGTTACAAAATCATAGAATCTTCAAATGCCAAATTTTATGCTTTGAAATAAAAATAGATATACCACTTTTGAGAATAATCCTTGTGTTCCGACAAAGTCATGTAACCTAATCAATGTATTTATGTTGTTATATAACAAAACTCAAGATTTGTTATTTGATTCTTGGTAAAGACTTATGTGATTAGAGAAACTCGCTTAGTTGATTTATAAAGCTAGGTATATCATCATGAAGTAATCTGAAGAAGAAGAAAAAAAACTATTGGTTACTTGGATGATTGATTATATGATCAATTTTAAACCTTGTGCACATATAACATGTTTAATAATATATTAAAAACAAACTATTACAATCATCTACGTTATATAACGTGTGTTATACTTGTTATGTAACGTTATATTCCTACATGGGTTATGTGGAATGAATAATTGTCATAGAATTCATTTGGAAGATGTTTGTTATATGTATGGATCTATGTACCAACCATATTAAACCGTACTGGTTACTAGAGATGTTTGTGATTCACAATTGTTAATCCAAAATAACCTTGGATCTTCCAAATCGAGTATATCTTATTTCACACAGGAAATGGGGATTGGGGTGTTGACATTATGCATGACAAAATAATAATAAATACATGATCATTATTATATGAACAAACCATACGTACGATATCAAAAGTTGAAACTCTATAAAGGGGAAATGGTTTTGACTTTGACCCGCTAAGCTAATTATCCATTATATGAGTAATTTGTGGCGAGAATACGACTGTGGCATTTGAAATTGCATTTTACGTTGTGAGTGTAATGTTTCAGGTAAGATATACAAAACCTGTCCATTCAAACAAGCTTAGTGTTGGCCTTCATGGGATGGTATGCTGTCATCCAAACCTTGCAAAGGATATTAGAAAGATAGGTAACCTGGTATATATAGGCTGCCCAGTTTCAGAACCTACCGATACACAAGCTACTAACTAAAAAAAAATGGCACGATTCTTCGTCGAACAAGGAGTCGAGAGTTCGAGGGGAGATCAGGTCGCAGTGATTGTTGGCGTCCTGATCACCGTACTCGGCATTCTCTACGGAGCCTACAGGTGTTTCGTCTGGGTGAGGAGCACCTGCTTCTCAGGCGCTCCCACCCAGCAACTCCCTCCAGCTGCTCCGGAGTTGGAGATGGAGCCGGTTTCTGCCGTTGTGCAGCCTGTCTCTCCTGACACGCTCGCGGCACTCCCCGTGAGGGAGTTTTCCCCTGACTGCGGCGAGCAGATCACCGACTGCGGGATATGTCTCGAGCAGTACACTGTTGGGGACCGCTTCTGGGAGCTGCCCTGTTGCAGCCACCACTTCCACGTCGCCTGTGTGGGAATGTGGTTTCAGGGGCAGCAGACGTGCCCTTTCTGTCATCGGACTGTTCGAGCCGACGAACACGGTATCGGCGGGAATAAATTAAGTGGAATCAATGTTATGAAAGTTTGGATTTTCTTGATGCCAATGTCTGAAACGAGATAATGTGGAATGTATCATAGACATGGTCAATTTTGGGGTGGCTGGTCAAGGCCGTTTCTTGTTGCTCTTGGGATATGTCCTTTTACATGAGCCCTTCTAGTGTGCTCTATAGCACCCATGCTATAAAAAACAAAAAAAAAAGGTGACCTGTTGAGGAGGTAACCCACTAAATGACTGGTCCCACATCATTAATGGCAATCTTGTAAATAATGAATCAATGTATACAAGTGTAGGTACAAATTAGAGTTGTACCATATAGTATAGGTTCAAGTTTCAGCTGTACCATTGAAGAATTTGTTTCACAAAGTGTAGGTACAACTTAAAGTTGTACCATTAGTATAGGTACAATTTTTAGTTGTACCATAAAGGGGGATTTGTTAGAAAGTGTAGGTACAACTTAAAGTTGTACCATAGTATAGGTACAAGTTCGGGTTGTACCATAAAAGAATTTTGAAAAAGTGTAGGTACAACTTAAGGTTGTACCATTAGTATAGGTACAATTTTGAGTTGTACCATAAAGGGATTTGTTAGAAAGTGTAGGTACAACTTAAAGTTGTACCATGGTATAGGTACAAGTTTGGGTTGTACCATAGAAGAATTTTTAGGAAGTGTAGGTACAGCTTAAAGTTGTACCATAGTATAGGTACAAGTTTAGGTTGTACCATAGAAGGATTTTGAGAAAGTGTAGGTACAACTTAAGGTTGTACCATTAGTATAGGTACAAATTTGAGTTGTACCATAAAGAGATTTATTAGAAAGTGTAGGTACAATTTAAAGTTGTACCATTAGTATAGGTACAATTTTGAGTTGTACCATAAAGGGATTTGTTAGAAAGTGTAGGTACAACTTAAAGTTGTACCATGGTATAGGTACAAGTTTGGGTTGTACCATAAAAGAATTTTGAGAAAGTGTAGGTACAACATAAGGTTGTACCGTTAGTATAGGTACAATTTTTAGTTGTACCATAAAGGGATTTGTTAGAAAGTGTAGGTACAACTTAAGGTTGTACCATTAGTATAGGTACAATTTTTAGTTGTACCATAAAGAGATTTGTTAGAAAGTGTAGGTACAACTTAAAGTTGTACCATGGTATAGGTACAAGTTTGGGTTGTACCATAGCTGGATTTGGAGAAAGTGTAGGTACAACTTAAGGTTGTACCATTAGTATAGGTACAATTTTGGGTTGTACCATAAAGGGATTTATTAGAAAGTGTAGGTACAACTTAAAGTTGTACCATAGTATAAGTACAAGTTTGGGTTGTACCATAGAAGGATTTTTAGAAAGTGTAGGTACAAATTAAAGTTGTACCATTCGTATAGGTACAAGTTTGGGTTGTACCATAAAAGGATTTATTAGAAAGTGTAGGTACAACTTAAGGTTGTACCATTAGTATAGGTACAATTTTTAGTTGTACCATAAAGGGATTTGTTAGAAAGTGTAGGTACAACTTAAAGTTGTACCATGGTATAGGTACAAGTTTGGGTTGTACCATAAAAGTTGTACCATTAGTATAGGTACAATTTTGGGTTGTACCATAAAGGGATTTATTAAATTTCCTGGGATAGTGAGAACTGCTCTTTGCATCTCACGGGACATCTCACGGCCGTGATATTTGCCTGAGGAATGAAGCACTGGTTTTTACATCTAACTTGAGTATTTACGGTCGTGAGATTACCAGTATAAGGTGTCAGATTTCCAGTAGGAGACTTTCACCTGTTGAACTATCCCGTGTACTTATTATAATGGTGTTTCAAACAGAATGGACTTTTTTCCAGAACTTCAAACTTATGAAAAAGATGATTCATAATGTTCTCTAAACCTTGACACGAGCATTACATAGATCCATTCACAATGTTCTCTAGTAACTGTACATCATATCAGATGAGATACCCTGTTAACAAAAAGTGAAACGCAGTCAAAGCATTACATTTGTCTAATAAAACAAGCATCCATAACACGATTAAATCTGTCTAATTAATGCTTATGTTTAGCTGCATGTAGCCCACACTAGTGCATCATCATATTCTAATTGGAAAACATACAAGCACAAACGCAAACACACATAGGTAAGTACTAAGGACTTTTGTTGGGTCATCTTCACTGCCCATCTTCCTCGTCAGTGCTCTCGTCCTCGTCTTCGTTTTGCTGGATTTGCTCATCTTCATTGTCCTCGCTAGAGTCACTGCCCTCTTCCTCAATGGTCCCTTTGTCCTCTTGATTTCTTTCCTTGTTTTGTTCATTGCCATTGTCCTCGTCGTCCTCTTCACTGCCCTCTTCCTCATTGGTCTCTTTGTCCTCTTGATTTCTTTCCTTGTTTTGTTCATTGCCATTGCCCTCGTCGTCCTCCTCTTCACTGCCATTTTCCTCATTGGTCCCTTTGTCCTCTTGATTTCTTTCCTTGTTTTGATCATCGCCATTGCCCTCGTCTTCCTCTTCACTGCCCTCTTCCTCCTCTTCACTGCCCTCTTCCTCATTGGTCCCTTTGTCCTCTTGATTTGTTTCCTTATTTTGTTCATCGTTGTTGCCCTCGTCGTCCTCCTCTTCACTTCCCTTTTCCTCATTGGTCCCTTTGTCCTCTTGATTTATTGCCTTGTTTTGTTCATCGCCGTTTCCCTCGTCGTCCTCTTCACTGCCCTCTTCCTCATCGGTCCCTTTGTCCTCTTGATTTATTTCCTTGTTTTGTTCATCGTCGTTGCCCTCGTCGTCCTCTTCACTTCCCTCTTCATTGCTTTCCTCGGTTGGCCTAGGAGATAGTTCCCAAGGTGTTGAGAATTTTTTGTAGTCAATCCTCAAGGACCTCATGATGTGATGGTTGCATTTGATGATGTAGCGTCGAGCTTCCTTTTCTCGATCGAGGCGGGAGAGAATGAGTGCATTTTGCTCGAGAATTTGGGCATTCTGCCGACCCAATGCCTCAAAATGGGAAATGTATCTGTCGGTGGATGGTCCGGCTTGAGTCGTAGTTTGGTGATGTTGTGCAGGTTGTTGCGGAGACTCCTCGACCATTTGCTGAACAACATGCTCCGATGCGTTTGCCTCATCTGTTGCAAGAGGTGGAGCAGGATGAGGGAGGCCAACAATGCCTACCACACCATTCTCCTTAACCACCAAACCCAGACATGATCAATATCAGAAGCATTAGTTACATTTGCTCAATGTTCAAAAGGAACTAGATTAGTAGGCAATCCAAAACTTGCACAAAATCAATCCTAGATTGTTTGAATCCCGACTAGTTCTGTTTTAGCATTCACTGTGAAAAGGAAAGTGTTGGTTGGAACATTTACCTTTGACAACAAATATAGATCCGCAAGGTTTTTTTTGGGAGATTGGTTGAGTGGACTGGGCAATGGTGCAATGAGAACCCACCGGATCAATGCCAAAATGCCGAGCTAGGCCTTGTGATGTAGGCACCTCCATGGATGGTCTTGATTTGTTTGTTGGAGGTCATCTTATGTAGGGTTTTCAGTATGACTAAACCAAGATGAATTGGGGGATCTTTTTACCATAGAGAGGAAAAAGTTCAAATCCCGCTTGGTCACACTCCCCGGGCTCCCCTCCCTAGCTGCCACAGAATGAGCGATAATGTTGTGGATGATACGCCATGGGGGAAGAAGATCATTCCCTTTATAGTGGGCAGTGTCAGACTTGTCCACATGGTTTTGTTTTACCCTTTTCCACATAGCATCGACCAATTGTGCTCTTGGTGAATATACTTTCTCTGAAATCAAACCATGACCTGTAGTGAGAAATCCTGGTGGGTATATCTGGAGTGCCTCTGTGAACTCAGTGATGCTCATCTGTCTCGCCTGTCCTCCAAGGCGAAAAGTTATGTTGTCTTCGGGCTTGTCGAGGTGAAATTCGCACATAAACTTGATGGAGAGAGTGCTGAGGAACTCAATGGTAAGCTCTCGGTAGATGACCTCATTGATGGAGAGAACCTCACACTATGCCGGGAGACGGAGGCATGTGCGAACGGGGTCCGCTGCTCCGAGGCGCTCTAGGAGATCCCAATCAATGCATCTTTGCTGCCCAAATGGGAGGGGAAGGAAGCGCTCTAAAGCCCTCCTATGTTTGTCGGGTAATTGGGAGGAAGCCGTGAAGTCCCCCTCCTCCAAGTTGAGCCTCCGTTTTGTGGTGGTGGAGATGGTTGACGTGCTCGTCCTTGGTTGTTTTTGCGTTGTCGTTTGGGGGGACGTGTCTCGTTCTTGGGTTTTGGCGGCGACGACGATAAGTAGCCTTCACTTTAGCAGGTGAGGCTGATGGTTGCGTGGTTTTTTGTTTAGCTTTCCCCATTCCTACAAAAACCAACTAAGCACATTAAGTCTTTAGTGAATGAGAGGGGAAAAGAATTATGCATAAGCATATGCAATTCACAAAGAGACGTCTACACCCTAAAAAAATGCAACAAACCAGGAGCATTCTAATCACAATTAGGAATTCAAAACCCTAATTCAGACCAACCAGGAGCATTCTAATCCCAGGAGCATTCTAATCACAATTAGGAATTCAAAACCCTATAAACAGAACAATAACATAATATACTGTTTGTGGAAACTACAAGCTTATGAAAAGATACTGGAAGATATAGACTTACAGACTTCTCCCTTGACGTCTCTTTGAGTATTCCATCCTCTTCGATCTCCACGTTTGTAACTCCCCTTGGAGCCTGGGGTGATACCGGACAGATCAAACTTTCCTAGCTAGATGCAACCTTGGTCAGGGGTTTTGCATCCCTCCCACTCAAAACCTCTCTCTATGTATTTCGATCTCTCTGTATTTCAATCACTCTCTGTATTTCGATCTCCATCTCTTTGTTGCATTCCTTGTCCAAGGATTGTATCGAGCTAGGAAAGTTTGTTCTCCTTGCTTTCTTCCTTAGAGATCGATGAGGTGGAATACTCAATGTGACGTCAAGGTAGATGATCCCCTGGAGCATTTCAATCACGTCTAAACCATCATGATCAGTCAGAAACCATGTCAATGCTCTACACAAACCAATTGCTGGAGATAATAGAAAGCAGCAACAGCCTCGCATTACCAATTACAACCCTAGCAGGTACCAAAGACAGTACAGGCTACAG